GTGTTCGGGTGATAAGTGCACTTCCACGGTAAATGATAAAGGAGCGCCGAGCTGATCCTCCCCCCGCTCCCCTCACCCACGGCCTCAGCAAAAGGAAATATTTCACAGCAGGGACCCCTCTGCCCTGGGTTTTCAGACACAGAAATGGCTGAGCAGACCCCACTGAGCACGGTCTCCTCATCCCCTGGGATTCTGTGAAGCACCAAGTGCCTGAAGAGAGGAGGATTCCTCCTCCTCATCCTCCTCTCAGGGCACCGGAGCTGCTGAGAAGCTCCAGGGCAGGTCTGGGTTTTCCTCTCCATCCCCAGGGCTCGGGGGGCAGAGCTGAGCCTGCCAGGGGAAATCTGCTCAAACCCCCCCTGAACAGCTCCAGTGAGCTGCCCACCCCTGCCCCAGCAGGACAGGCCGGAGAGCCTCCACACCAAGCCCTAGCAATTCATCCTCCGTGCTGTTATTTGCTCCAAAATCCCCGAAATTTTGTTCTTTCAGCAAAGTTTCTCTTTGTTTTCCCTCTATTTTTTTTTTTTCCTGATTTTTCTGGGCATTTTTTTTTTCTTTTTTTTATTTTTTAATTAATCAGAAGTTGATTTTGCTGTAGGGCAAGATTGCATGGGTCAATGGATGTCTTGATTTTATTGTTGTCGTTTGTATTTTTATAAGGGAAAAACGTTTATTTAGAAAATTTCCAACTTGTGGGAAGCAATTTTTTTGTTTTTCTTAAATCGATCTAAATAAAATAAGGAATTAAAATTGCTTCTTGCACCTCCCATTATTTCCTGGCTTCGTTGTGATGGTGTAGGGAGGAAGGTTTGAAATGATTCTGAAATATTTGGCTTTGATCCCACAGATGAGCACATAAAGCAACAAATGAAGGTGAGGCCTGAGCTCTGCAATCCTGCATGGGGTGACCCAGAGGATTTTTGGGGGGAAGGGTCAGGAACAGATTCCTGCCCCTTTAATCCCCTTGTGCTTCCTCTTCAGGAGGCTTGAGCCCCAATCCACAACAAATATTTCAGATCTGAAAAAGAGCCCTGGCTTTAAACTGCCCTTCCCAGCCCAGAGCTGGCCAAATCCCCTCATTTCTGCTGAATAAATCCTAATTCCCAAGTGATTGGAGAGCCTGGCAATAAAGGAGCCTGAAAATTTAAAGCAGGAGCTGAGCACCACAAGAAAAAAATTGTCCCTACCCATTTCTGCTTCTCAGGATTTCAGAAGAATTTGTCCCTGCCCATTTCTATTTTTCAGGCACTCAGACATCAGGCCTAAGGGGGAAATTTTTTTAAATTCCCACAGAATTGTCTGAAATATTATCAGTAAAATTTGACAGCTGTGGTTAAACACCTGCTAAGGTTGGTTTGGCTTTCAGGTTGAGCTTTCACTCAACTTTTTGCTTGTTCAAATTGTAGAAAAGCCATGGTTTGCCTCAAGAAACAAAGGAAATTCTGCCCTCAGAAACAAACGCCACTTGTTCCATCCTAATTTCCATTTCCTTCCCTGCTTCCTGTTGGGGAGTGGAGGGATTGGGTTGCAAAGCCAGAATTCCCCAGCCCAATGTCACAGATGAAACTGGAGCCTGCAGCGCTGCGTTCATGGAATGTTCTCGCAGAATTTCGGAGAAATGAATTTTTTAGTGCCCAGCCATTAAAATTGGCATCTGTTTAGCAGGCAGGGTAATTAGCAGAGATAGGGACGTGCTTTATCTCCTGCTACCCCAGTGCAAAACACAATAAAATCCTAATTAGTGCTGGAAATTACTGCTCAACTCCAATCTCCTTGTTGATCCATCTATCTCCTAAGATTACAGCCTTGGATAATAAATATGAAATTGCATTTAAATATCCCTGTGGCACCTCCCATGGCCCAGATTGTCCCCACCCCCAAGGTGGCTCCTGTGGCCTTGTCCATTCATGATCCCCATCAGTGGCATTTTCATTAATTTTTACTATACTGAGCAGTAAAAATGAGCATTTCCTTTCACACCCCTGTCTATTTTATATATATATAACTGTAATACATCTACAAGACACATCCATACCAAATTTCATACCAAAATCCCCCGGGATTTCACCCCAAAATCCCCAAATTTCACCCCAGAATCCCCAAATTTCACCCCAGAATCCATCCTGAGAGTCCCGAGGTTCTGGAACCAGTCCGGGGGTTCTAGACCATTCTGCTGGACCCTGCCCAGTGCTGAGGTTCCAGAACATCCAGGGCACTCCAAAACCCCGGGAGAACCTCAGCAGCCTTCAGGACCCTCGGGATGGATCCAGAACCTTCTGCAAGTCCCTCAGGACCCTCAGGATGGATCCAGGACCTTCTGGAAGACCCTCAGGACCCACAGGGTGATCTAGAACCTCAGCACCACCAGGACAGGCAGGACAGTCTAGAACCCCACGGAATGTTCTAGAACCTCAGCACCATGCCGGACCGAGGGGAAAAAAAAAAGCTCCCTAAACCAAAAATTAGTTTTTACTAATTGAATTTTAAAGCATTATATAGTATATATAATATAATATTATCCATATTGGGGAATATTATATAACATATATAATATTCGATATTAATATAATGTAATATAATGTAATACAATATAATGTAATGTAATATAATATAATGTAATATAATGTAATGTAATATATCACATCATATCACATCATATCATATCATATCATATCATATCATATCATATCATATCATATCATATCATATATCATTCTATGTAATCATATTATATTATATACTTTATATATAATATAAAATATAATATATATATAGTTATAATTAATACTATCATCTAATATAAATAATACTTAGTACTAAACTTTTAAGCTGCTGTTTGACAGATTTCCTGGGCAGCCTCAAACTTTGCTTTTCACTGGCAGAACCAGCAGCTCCCCAGGCATTAAACTCAATTTGCTGCTTGCATATCCTCCCTGCTCAGCCAGCCCTGCCCTTCCACAAACCTGATTTTATTTCTCATGCGCCAGGAAGGCAGAGCTGGCTCCTTCAGTCCCCCTGAACACGACTGGGCACAATTCCTGCCATTATTCCCCTGACATTCACATTTAGAGCGCTGAAGTCCTGTTCCTGCAGCCTCTGCTGGGATCTGCTGTGACCCTTCAGGGCCGTCCTGGTCCCCACCTCCACCTCAACAGTCCTTCAAAGCATTTCATCACTCAGTAACTCAGAGCTTAATGTTTAATTCTGGGAGTTCATTCCCTCCCTATAAAACCCTCCCTCCCTCAGCTGGGAATTTGGAATTCCGCCGAGAATTCCCTGCAAAGCTCCAGAGCCCTCTGAGCAGGATGAGCGCCCACTGCAATCCCAATTACAGCTCCAGCTCTGGTGTTTCCAACCCCTTTCACCCAAACCACTGCCCAGCCACACAATTTATTCCCATTTCCCCTGCAGTTATTGAAACACAGAGATCAGAATAATTGACACAGATGAATCTCCAAGGTGCACACAGCAACAAACACAAACAGGCTGGGCCTTTGTCAGGGCTGTTGAACTGCAGAAATCCACAGGAGTCTGGGCTCTACCTTCTGCCTCCGTGCCAATAAAAGCAGAGGGCTGTGCTGTACAGATGTAACCTTTGTTTGCTTGGCTTTTGCCAGCAGCTGAATGCATTCCTGCTCTGATAAAAGACACCACATGATGTGTTTGAGTGTCTGTGACTCACTGGAGACACCGGGTGCTCCGTGAATCAGCAGCACCAGCACGGCTCCACATCGTTTCAGCAGTGACACAGCCACAGCAGCCAGCCACAGGGCAACAGGAGGGGTCAGAGCAGCTGCAAAACCTCCCTGGATGGAGCCCACGCTGAACAAAAATGGCTGGTTCCACATTTGGAGAGAGAAAAAAGCAGGGAAAAGGGGAAAATGCGTCAGCAGAGTGTTCATTTTGTCCGAGGTGCTGAACACTCTCTGCCTGGCTGACACTGCAAGGAACCTGCAGCCAAATATTCCCCAAAACACCGCCTTTAAGAAGGAACAAACCCCAAAGCCGGAGCTCCCAGGGCAGAGGTTTTGCTCTGCCAAAGGAGAAGGCTGGAATATCCCTCACTTTGCTCTCTATTCCCTTTGTGAAGCTCTCCCAGGGAGTTGGAGCGAAGCTGAACCAGGGCAGGGGCAGCACAGAGCTGTCCTCAGGTAAAGCAGTCCCCGCTTTACATTCCAAAGCAGTTTTAAAGCCAGCCCAGGTATTTTTTGGCAGTGTAACTTCACCTCAGCCTGGAGCAGAGCATGGCCAAGGTGAACAGTTAGGCAAGCTTCATTAAACCTCCCCAAAGGGGCTGTTTGCTCCCATTATTCAAATACTCCATTTCCTTGTCAAGAGAGGGAATTGCTGTCCTGCTTATCAGGGTTGTTTTTTTAATTATAAGCATTAAGTTATTCTTAATGGCCATTTCTAATTACTCCTCAGGACACTGCTCATGTGGCAAAGGGAATCTCACACAGCCCTGTCACTTCTGCCTCTGGACAGACACCGTGACTTGATGGCCTTGAACCACAGGAATTGTGCAATAGCCATTCCCTCACTGCCTTTCCTCATCTTTCCCAGCGTGCCTCCAACTCCAGGAATATCCAGGATAATTGGGGTAGTGTCCATTTAAACTCCTCTCACAGCCTCACCCCGCTGCAACAACCTCCACTGAATTTTGGGGCTGATTTAAGGGTTGATTTAAGGGTTTATTCTTGCACTCCCTCCCCGGGGCTCTGCCACCACTGGGGCTGTGACATTCCCACTTCAGTTTCCTCAGTTTTCCATTCTCACCAACACCCTGCTCCCTTTGGCTCTCCAGTTTGGATCAGAAGTGCTTTTTTTATTGTCCACTACACCAGTCCCACACCCAGAGAAACATCTGCTGGCCACAGGAAGAAATGTACCAGCAGCACAGGAAATAAACTGATAAGCAAAACAAGAGATAAAGTAGTTCCCACTCTCAAAAATGCTTCTCTGCTTGATCAAGAAGCAAAGCAACACCAAAGCTCACGTTATTAAATATCATAAATCAATATTTAATTTGAGAGAAATCAAAGAATTTTGTGATTTTGCCAGGCCACCTTTTCTCTCCAAAGCTGCTTTATTTATCATGGCACAATTCTAAATTTCACATCAGCTGGGTGGCTCAGCTGGGCAAAACAGGAAGGTCTTGAGGAAAAGCAGAGAAACCAACCCATTCTGAGAAGCTAGAGGGGAAAACTGCTGCCCATGAGGGTCCTTGTGAAATATCTGCACTTGTCCTGATGTAAGAGAACCCAGGGCTGGCTGCAGGAAATGCTGAGCAGGGCTGGAGGAATCCATGGAGCTGATGATGGAGCATTTCTCCTGAGCAGCTGAGCTGAGGCTGATTTCACTTCACAATTGTTTCTTCTCCCTTGTAAACAACGACGTTCTGCTCTGTCTCCTGCACTTCCACCTTGTAAAGGATTCCCTGGGGCAGGAGCTTCTGGAGGTTGTCCCAGATGAACACTGCAACATTCTCTGTGGTGCTGAGGGGGAACAGCAGGGTCAGAACTGGCTGAAATGGCAGAAATGACACCAATATTTGGGGCAGCTGCAGCCAGGATGGGCTGGGGGGATGCTGAAGGGCAGCTGATGCCACCTGAATTGAGCAGGGCTGGTGGCACTGCCAGCGAATGGGGGTGGAATGGGCTGGAGGGGACAGGTCCCTCTGGCCAGGCTGATGTGAGAAGGGGCAGCAGGGCTGGCCATAGGTGAAGGCTGCTGGTTCCCAGGTGGGATCAGGCTCTGGAGACTGTTCCAACAGCCCAGGAGCCCCTGTCACCCACCTCACCACCTCAGAGAAGTAGGGCACATCCTTGTCCAGGTTTTTGTGGTCGAGCGGCTCCATGATCGCTTCCTGCAGAGAGAGGATGGTGACAACCCTGTCCCTGTCTGGCCTGGGGTGGGGAGAAAGGGAAAGACCCCCAAATCCAGCTGTGAAATTCCCAGTTGGAGACACACAACAGAGCTAAGGCATTTAAGTCTTCAATTATTCCTTAATTTCTTTTTTATGTCCTGCCATCATCAGCTCACCACGTCCCCATACTGGTACCAGACAAATTGCTGAGCTCTAATCAGCTCTCCCAGGGGATTAGAAGGAAAACTGGGCTATTTTTACCTGCATGAATTCCTTCAGGTCTGTCAGGTTCATCACCATCCCCGAGACTGGGTCAATCTGCAGGGGAAGCACAAGGGAGATCGGTGGCCTGGCAACACAAATGAGACAGGAATATCTGTGCTCAGGTCATCTGAGCCACAAGGAAAATATCTTTCCACTGTCAGAGAGTTCCAGCTCCACTCCTGTGGTGTTCCCAAGGGCTTGATACAGCCTGGAAACAATTCCAAAGGTTCCACTCTTTTCTAAAAGCTGACACCAGGGAGTCACAACTCACTGGAAGTCTTCAAACGTGATGATAAAAGCATGAAAACAGCATTAAACTGCAAATCCTTGTTGTGAACAGGACAAAGACCACAGCAAACCTTCTTTTCTAGTGATGTGCACAGAGTTTCCAAAATACTCTGGGAAATCCAGGCATGGAGCCAGAACTGTGGGGATTCTGTCACACTGAGGAACAGGAAAAAGAAGCTGGCTGCACTCACCTCTCCTCGCACAGTGACTACAACTGGAACAAAAGAGAAAAGATCAGGTCACTGTGATGCCCATGAAGCCAAAACCAAACCTGCTGCTGCTGGGGACACACAGCCCATTCCCTGCTCACCCACACTGTGCACTCAGGAGTGGCACTGGTTTTATAAAATGAGGGGATGCTCCACAAAAACAACGACTCAGAGGCACAAAAATCCTTCCCCAAGGCCTGGTGCCCCAGGCAGGTGGAGATAAGGCTGTCTTCCCTGGAAAAGCAGCTCCTCAGCAGAGCTTTCGGGGTGCCAACAACACAGGGAGCCACTCCAGGAACTGGAGAGATCTAATCCTGTGTGCTCGGGGTGTAGAAATGGGAAAACTTGTGGAAAAAACCCCATTCAAATAATGTTTACAGGCTGTTTAATTTGTGTGGCTTTTGCTTAGAAAAAAATCTCCATTCCAATCACAATGATTCTGCAGAGTGTAAACAAGATTTGATTCAAGAAGTGGCATTTGAAGATAAATATTTATTATCTATTCAGCTGAATAGACGGCAAACCCATGCTATGGTTCAACCCCCTGCTGCTGAAATTTCCTCCTAATACTTAATAAAAACACGAACCCAGCCACTAAAATCATTCTCAGGCTGCTGAGAATGAGTGGCCCGACCCTCCTGGGGGTTATCCCACCCTGAGAGCAGCATCCCTCCATGAGCAAGGATGGAAATCAGCTTCCCACCTTTGTAGTTGTGCCCGTGGCCATTTGGATTGTTGCACTTCCCAAACAGCTTCAGGTTCTCCTCATCACTCAGGGATTTGCTGTGGGAGAGGCAGGCATGGCACGTCAGGATCTGCTCCAGATGTTCACACATTCACTCAGCTCTGCTCCCCAGCTCTCCATCTATTCCCTCTCCCACTTTAAGCCACCAGCTCAGGAGGCACAAACACGGAGGAGCGCTTGGTCCATGACAAGATGTTGTTGACAGTGGTGAATCTTCTCTTGCTGTGGTTTTGTGTCTGTTTCACAGCATCTGCCTGGCACCACAGCTGGATAAATGTTCAACATCTGGGCCCAAAATCGCTTAGGCCTGGAGCAAGCAGCACGTTTGGGTTTATTATTAATTAACAAAGCTTAGGGAGCCTCTCCAAGAAGAGGAATTCCCTCTGAATCTTCCCTTTGAAGCAATCCAGGGGCCTGCTCTGAGTGTTTCAGGTCAAGGCACATTCTGGATCACAGAATCCCAGGATCTCTGAGGCTGGAAAGGAGCTGTGAGATGATGGAGTCCAACCCGTGACCCAGAGCACTGAATGCCACATGCAGGGGTTCCTTGGGCACCTCCAGGGATGGGGACTCTGTGGAGAGCCCCTTGCAAAGGCCTGACCACCCTTTCCACGGAGAAATTCCTCCTGATGTCCAGCCTGAACCTCCTCTGGCACAGCTCGGGGCTGTTTCCCCTTGTCCTATCGCTCCTAGCCCGAGGGAGGACACCGAGCCTAAACCCTCCTCGGAGGCAGTTTCAGATCACGGCACCCTTTAGGAATATATCAATTTTGGGAGAAAACCCGGCAGATCGAGAAGCACAGGGCGATGTTTCCAAACCGAAAGCGCCACCGGCTCAGTGAAAAGGCGGAACTGCAGCCGGGCACTGACGGATGGAGCTGCGGGAAGGGGCTGAGCCAGGGAGAGAACCGGGAAGCGGCTGCGGGCTCGGAGCCTCCTCCCGGCGGGGCTCACCCGTGCGGGGCCGGTCACCTGTGCAGAGCCGCTCACCTGTGCAGAGCCGCTCACCCGTGCGGNCCGCGGGATCCGCCCGCCGAGACCCGGGGATGCTCCGGCCTCTCCGCGCCGGTGTTGGATGCGGGGATGCTCCAATCCCACGGTGCCGATGTCGGATCCGGGGGTGCTCCGGTCCCTCCGTGCCGGTATCGGAGTCGAGAATGCTCCAGTCCCCCCGTGTTGGGCCCCAGGATGCTCCAATCCCCCCGTGTTCAACCCCAGGATGCTCCAATCCCCCCGTGTTCAATCCGGGATGCTCCAATCCCCCCGTGTTCGGTCCGGGATGCTCCAATCCCCCCGGGATGGTTGTGGACAGAGCTGAAGAAATGCACCCCGGCAATAACATTCAGGGAGTTCAAGCAGAGGAATCCTTAGTGTGGTGTTTGTCGGGAAGCTTTGGGAGAACGGGGAGAACCTGGATTTCTCAGCGCTGCAAGGGTTTGAATGTACATTCCCTTAATTTCTGGGAATTCCTGCGGAATCTGTCGGGTTGTCAGGGTGGGAAATCTCCAAGGCTCGAATCTCTGGGAGAGGAGCAGGCTCCAGAGCAGCTGCTGAGCTGGGGGAGCACAGCCCCTGTGCCCAGCCAGGCAGGGGCTGTGTGCTGGGGAAGCAGAGCTTTAAACACGGCATTTTTGGGGACACAGCACGGCCTGGCTGTGTCCCCAAAAATTCCCGCAAGGTCGCACCTGAGCCTCTCACCCCTTTTCGTTTCCCACCTCAACGAGAATAAATAAATAAAATTAAATTAAATTAAAAGAGAACCAGTGGTGCCTGAGGTCCATTAAACATTTCTTAGCATCGTTCTGGTGGTGGCCGTCCTGCGGGTGCGGCCTGGCTGGGGACAGGGGGGACATTGCGGGGATGTGACAATGACCCGGAGGCAGCAGAGAGGCAGGAGGCTGCAGGGCAGGGCTGGAACGGCAGGAACGGGAGCTGTTTGCCATCTAGTGGCTTCCACCAGCTCTGGCTGAGCCTCCTCTGCCTCCAGAGCAGCAGCCCTGAGGTAAAATCCTTTTTCCTTTCCCAGCACCTGTAGGGAAGGTGAAGGAAGGTCGGAGGAGGTAAAGCCTCAAGGGTGAAATTATTCAAATAACCCTTCAGGCTTCTCACAATGGAAAAATAGAGCTGGAGGTCTTCACTTTCCACCCACCTACACAGAATTCAGCAGCTGGAGGAGCCTGGGTGACGCCAGGGGCTGGGGTTTGTAATGCTCTGTTTAACCCCAGGGGACACCAAGGCCACTCTGCAGCTCCCTGGGTCTCCTACTGGTGTTTCCTACTGCTTGAACTGGGAGGAAAGCAGGAAGCATCAGCCAGCAGAGCTGTATCCTGCTCTGGAGATGTGTCCCCCACATCTACAAGACTTTGTGAGGGCAGGGAAAGAAAGGAAAAAACTTCCCAAGGTTTTATTTGAGGGCACTGCTATGGGACAGAAAAAAGCACAAGCACAGCTTCTGTGAGTGTCTGCATCTACCCTCTGGAGTCCAGCAAAGGCAACCTTGATGCAGGGGGGGATTTCCTCCCCTCCACTGGGCCCATCTGTCACCTGTTGGGTTTTATTCCTCTCTTCTGCTTTACGTATTTCAGCCAAAGTCACAGCCCTGAGCGTCGATGTTCTCTTCCCCTCAGAGCACACTGCTGCCAAAGGAAGGGCTTGATCACTTCAGCTCCCATTTTCTCCCTTGCAAGCCTCAACCTGGCATCCTTTGTGAGCTGCTGCTATGGCTGGTCTAGCAAGGTAGTAAAAAACATGGAGATAAAGCAGTGGGCTGGGGGAGCAAAGGGGCTTCTGCCTTCCTCGGCTGTATTTTGTTAGGAATACAGGTTATGGTGGAGAAAAAGCAGTTCCTTCATCCCAGATGTGATGGGAAGGTGGGAGGTGAAAGCAGCAGAGGTTTTTTCTGAGCCTGGCTGGGCCCTGAGTCCCAGGAGGTGCCCAGGAGCTCCTCAGTGGGCAGTGAAGATGCCGTGGAACCCGTAAGGCATTGGCACCTCGACTTCTGCTCGCCCCAGTTCCTGGAAGGTCTCTGCATCCAGCACGAGCAGGAAAGCACTTTGGTTCTGCAGGAGAAAGGCAGAGTGAGTGTCCAGGCTGAACCCTTTTCCACTGTGTCTGCACACAAAGCACCAAACCCGCAGGGCAGGAGCACTGAGAGCCGCAGGATCCATCAGGAAACACCGACATTCTGAGGAAAGCTCCAGCTTGCACTGCCTGTGCTTGGCCATGACACAGCCAGGCACTCTGGGGGGCAAGGAACGACCTCCCAGCAAGCCTCAAACTCACTTTTGAGGTTTAGAAAGTGAATTAATGCTGTGTGACTTGGACAAACTGCTGCCAGCAAGTTACCTCAGTGGGGGAGACCACCACAGACAAGATGACCCCGCTGTCCTCTGCCGTGGCATTAGGCACTGGCACAAACACAGGCTCTGATGGGAAGGATCCCTCCTCCTGCCAAATCTAGCAAGGACAGGAACATATGGATAAGTTTCAGGGACATATGGATGAGTTTCAGTTCATTAATACTTGTCTACTACAGTGAGCAGAGTTACAAGTGCTCCCCACAAAGGCACCTGGAAATACTCTGTGCTCCAATGAACTTCAAAGTTCAACATTTTAATTATTTATTGTTATTTTTCATTCCAGGAGTGTGATTCCATCCTCTCCTGTTTGGTGACTGTGCCATGTCCATAAAGTGCCAGGTGAGGGATGAAATTTGGAATCTCAGCCCAGACCCACCTGGGCAAAGCCCTAAAGCCCCCAGTAAATGACACACCTGCAAACCCAGTTCATTGGAAGGGCTCCATGAGCTGGCTTCACCTCACCTTGAAATTCTTGGTCTCCACATCAACCTTGATCAAGGAATCTCCAACCAAGTGGCCGAATCCACACCCGTAGAAGTAGCGGTACCTCCTGCCATTGCAGCGAGTGTAATTGATCTGGGGGAACTCCAGGCCCCCAACTTTCTCAAAGCCCTCAGGGTGCAGATTTTCGTGTGTGCACCAGACCTGGGAGAAACGTGCAGAAATGACAGCAGGGCTGGTTCAGCTCGGACAGGGCAGGATCCCTGATCCCTGCTGATCCCACCAGCCGCTGCACCAGCAAAAGTGGTTAAAGCTCTGGGGCACAGGGCAGGAACTGCTGCATAAATGCATTTGTGGTTTGATACACACCTTGCCATCTGCACCTTTCACAGCCTTTGCCTGGCTGTAAGGCAGTGGGTTGAGGTTTTTCCCCACAGGTGTGTCTGAATCCACGTCCAGAGGGAGAACAAAGCGGCGAGGAAAAGCTCTGGGAACGGAGGCATAAACCTGTCACAGAGACAGAACGTGATGGTGATGGGCAGAGGACACACACTTCAGCCTAAATGCACTTCTGGGGAACAATTCTGAGGTTTTAGACACCCCTGAATTCTTTTTCTTTTCCTTATGAGTTTGGCCAAGCTCTGGAAGGTAAAGCACGGAATGGAAAGAAGAAGTTCCCTGCACGTTCCAGTAATTTACAGCAAAAACCAAAACCACAAGAATTAAAAGGGTCAGCACTGCCCTCACAGCAATTAATGCTGTTGGGTATGAAAATCAGCCCATTGTCTCCTAATCCAGCAGTGGGACAGACAGCACACTATGTTTTATTTGGTTAGAACAGGTTCTAAACAGGCTCACTCTGTGGAGCAGGAGAGCACTGTGCCTTCAGTGCCTGGAGTTACCCTGCAGGATTCCCTCTTCCACACTCAGGTCCACATGGATTCATGGCTGAAAGTCCAGGGAATGATGATGGATTTACCTGGGGAGCAAAATGCAGCCCCCAGTGTGGCAAACACTCAGCACCTTGAGAGGGAGAATTCCACCACTGCCACTAAAGCTCTGCTCAAGCCAACTTTATAACCCATCATATTCCCATATAAATAAAACAGATAAAAACCCTATTTTGGTGTTTCTCAGTTACTTCAACCTGCAACTCACCAGTTCAGTTGTGAAACTTCATTTGAATCACATGTGTTAATCCTGAAACCAGGTTTTCAAAACTTTTCTGGTTCATAGCCTAGCTGAGGAACTCTGCCAGACAAAATACTCTGCCAGGATTAGTGAGCAAGCAAATTTGGGGAAAGGAGACAAGCCATGCCCAGCCACTCCTGAGGCTTTTGTTGCCTTGTGAAGTTTGAGATTCTGTTCTGAAATGACTCCTCTGTGTGTGAGGGGTGATGTGTGCTGGTGATGCCACTTGTCACTTGAAAAGGGTGTTGGAAACACAGGCCCGGTGTTGACACCAGGGCACCTCAGCCACATCAAATTCCACCTGGGTTGAGCTCAGAGAAAGGACAAAATAAAAAAAACTGGGATTAACACTCTGTGGTGTTTGAGTATGTTCAAAAAATGCTTGATAAAAGCCCCCAAAAAATTGCTAAAAGGAAGCAGAACCCGATGGGAGACATCTGTGCTCCTTTCAGGTCGGAGCTGAGCCGCTTCCAGACAGCTCAGGACGCAGACAGAGGAAGTTGAGCCCTGTCTGGACATGCAGCAGCCTCCCCAGCACGCTGGGCTTCCAACAAACACATCTGCAGGGCCAGAAACTGAAAGCACCCCCACTTTTCCCATGCGTGACCTATGCAAAATCATGCCCCTCACACGGCCTGAAAAGGGGCTTTTCACAGAGCTGGACACAATAAATGATTTATTTGAATGTGGCACTGTGAGGTGACCGTGGGGAACAGTGTAGGGGTTTCTGTGGTATTTGTGTTTCTGAGATTTTCATAAAAACTGCTTCTTTTTCTGAAGTAATGCCTTAAAGAACAGAGTTCTTTTTTTTTTTCTTTTTCCATTTAGAAATCATGCTGTAACTTATTTTGCATAATTTTTTGGGGGAAAATTGTATTACACAAGGATAAGGAAAATGAATGTCATTGAAACCAAGGTTTTAAACCAGAAATAAATTCTGCCAGGCTATGGAGCTCTGTGTCACACACAGAGCTTGAAGAGTTTCAAGGGCATGCTCCATGGAGAGGGATTTGAAAGGAGAGAAAGAATCAAGAGATGAACATTTCAGTTTTTATGGACTTGTTTATGTTCTCCATTGAGAACCAATGAATACCAACCTGAGCTTTGCTGCAGAAAAGCAACTCCTGCAGCAGATGCTGGGGGAGCAAAGGCAGGGATCTCACCTGGTCCAGCCCTTCCCCGCTCCTCCTCAGGTTCTGCAGCGTGTACAGGGCCAGGCTGGTGCCCTCATCCTGGCAGCACAGGTCCAGCACCACGCAGCCCCGCTCCTCAAAGGCGTTGATTTGGTGGAAGGTCACGAAGGGCTTGGAGCACCACTGCCCTGGCAGCACCTGCAGGGAGCATGGGACAGCTGCAGCTCCTCTGCAGAGCTCCCAGCCTCACCTCACAGAGCTTCCTCCTCTCTCCCCCTCCATTTCAACCCCTCTCATCCCTTGGGCTTTGCCTTCTGGCCTTGTGCTCCCACAAAAGACCTGCTTTAAGCCAGTAAGGAGCAGAGTGGGAAGAAGAAAACCCAAAATATCAAGCAGTCCCTTGCTGTGCGTCTTTCCCAGGTTCTGACCTTTTTATGCCCTGTGGTACCTGGGACCTGCATCTCAGTCCCTGTGCTGAAGTCTTGTGAACTCCAAACTGCTTCTTTCTGCCTCTCCTTTTAGGGCTGGCAAGAAATGAATGAATGGAGAGGAAAATGCACAAAGAAATCCCATTTTTAACAGATCTACACTCCTGCTTTGCAGTCTTTATTGCAGTAACTTCTGGATTGATCTTAAACTCCCCATGGCTGCTAAGTAGCACTTTTGGGATCTAAAGTTCCAGATTAGCTTCTGCAGGGGCCAAAGACCCCCTCACCTCCCCAGTGTGCTTGTTCACCACGTGGAAGTAGGTGTTGTGCTGAGGCTCCCAGCTTATCCCATCAAAAATGGCTTTCCCACGGAGCTTGGAGGTGATGATCTTCAAGAGGTTCAGCCTGAGGGGCTGCTCGATGAAAATGATGTAGTTCTCCGTCATCCCTGAGGAGTGAAGGAAGGAATATCACCCAAATATGAGGAGAGAAAACACCTCAAGGGCAGAGAGAACAGGGCAGCCCTTTGTGCATCCCCAAATTCCCCGAGTTTGGGGCGGGATCTTACCGAAGCTGTGGTAGTAGGATGGCTTTGCCCTGTCCATGGGAGGGATGGAGCACAGCACCTTGGCTCCCTCCAGCGTGTCCCCATGGCCTGACTCCTGTGGGGGGATCCTGATGATGTTGTAGCTGGATCCTGGAAAGGGGAAAAGGTGTTCAAACCAAACTCAGGTTCTGCTCCTTCCTGCCCCCCCAGGAACATCTGGAGCCACCTCTCCTAAACTGAGCAGAAACCCAACAGGCAGTAAAACATTCTACAGAGGATTTATCTACCAAAAGAAAAACAAAAAACCAGGAAGCTTGAAAGGAAGCCCAAGGATCTTCTCAGCCTGGGAGAAAGCCAGCTCTGCCTGCAGTGCTCTCCTACAATAAAAGGGACAGGATGAAAACCAAGCTCACAGGAAATGAAAACTTTGAGCCTTGGTGATGCTCATTTAATGAGCATCAGCATATGAGCAGGAAAGGATGGAGCTTTGGAATAATAATAATAATAATCTAGAGTTTGGTGTGTCCAGCTGTGAAAGGCATGTGGTACAGAGCCAGACTCTGCTGAGGCCAAAAGGAAATGAAAGCAGCAAGAATGAAAAATGGTCAAAACTGGGAAAACGTGGAGCTGGCCTGAGGGACTGCAGTAAAGGGCAGTGGCTGTTTTCAGATCTTCTGGAAAAGAAGGATTTCATACAGCTGACAGAGACAGCTCTGAGCAGCCATGTGGAAGGAACAAGATCCTATCAAGGTGCTCAGAGCTCTGAGAAGAAGAAAAAAATCCCACAAAATTCACCTTGGCTGTAAGATAGCCAGGTGACCAGAATAAATTCTATCTTCTCTCCTGCAAAAACCCTTATGGTGCTCATCAAAAGCCAATTATTGGAAGTGAAAATCATGTGACTAATTTCTTCAGGTAACATTTCTTCAGGTGCGGCTTCAAAAGTGGATGGGACTTTCAAAAATCATTCTCCTGTTTTCCAGCAAAGCTTGGGAGAGGAAGAGGAGAATTTTCTGGATATTCAGGCCAAAGTCAGAAGCATCTGAAACTAAATCCTGAGAGGAGCCAGTTTTATGGGACAGACTGACATTGACATTTTGACTCTGAAACAGCAATTCCCAGGTCTTTTGGGGAGTTTCTTCAACAGCTGCTCCTTGAAGCTGCACCAGGAGGAATTCTGGCCAAAAACCCAGCCTGGGCATGCCCACCTTACCGTGCTTCCCATAGGAATTGCCCATGTTGTAGGTTGTCCCATCAGACTCGTAGTGGGGATGAGCTGTGGCCCCATTCACTGCAATAAACTTGCTCCAGTCCACCTGCAAATGCCAAAGATTTTCAGTCAGTGCAGAACTTTCCAAAGGGTCGGTTTTGTGGAAGTCTGAGGAAGAAGAGCAGATTTTATTGGTTATTAATTCTGGGGGGTCTGAACTCCAACCTTCATTCTGCCTAAAGTCTTCCTGAAATCTTTGATAATAAGGATATTTCTCTATCAGTAACGCAGGACTAAGAGCAGCAGACATTCCTTGGATGTTCCTTATGGTACCAGTGCTGACACAGTGGGAATGTTACCCATAATAAGCACGGGCAGATGTGTGAAGAGACAGAAACTGCCCCAAAAAAATCACCAAGAGTTTTGTCACTGGAAGCTCAGAAAACCAGGTCCTGTTAAGGCATCTCCAGCTGGAGAGTTTAAATGTGAAACCACCCCTACCATTTCTTCACTCAGCCAAAAAATTACCAGTCTGCACCTAAATAAAAATAGCATGAGGGGATTTCATTTCATTTGATGACAAGATGATTTAACAGAGCTGAACCTAAAAATCCCCCTGTTTCTTTTCAATGACTGAATTCTGGTTTACAGACAGATCAGCTGGCAAATCACTCAGGATACCTCAGTGGCTTTGCATCCAATTGATTCAGTTCTCACTGCTGATCCTGCAGGGAGGGCTCCCCCAAGGCCTGAGGGATGCTCTGAGCTGGCGTTTTTGGCTGTCAAACAGACCCAGCAGTAAATACTGATTTTGGAAGGGCAGAATCCCTTTGTCCAGCCCAAACCCCCTCCAAGGGTGCAGGCAGATGTAGCTGATGTCCTGTCACAACCAGCCACGCTCTTGGGAGAGGATGCACAGGACACAGGGGAAAACTTCTCTGATGTTTTGGTCATTTCCTAGCAGGGGGGAGAAAATCAAGTGGCAGCTGAACCACCCCTTTGCAACAGAGGCTTTGATAAAGGGCAGCTTTGGAGCGTGCAAAGCTTGAGGTGTAAAAAGCAGATAAAGGGAATTGATATGAAAGCAAAGCACTGGGGAAAAGGCAGATGTGAGATAAGCAATGTTCACTTTTTCTTGTACACAGGAAAAAGTTGTCTCCTGCTCTGCTGAGAGGTGCAGACAAGCCCAGGCAAGCAGGGAGAGCAGAGGAGAAATGATAGCTGTTCCCAGCTGGGCAGTGACTGCACCTCCAGCCCTGAGAGCTGCCTTGCTGCTGTTAGGGACTCAAAGGAGAGATGCTGCTGGTCCAGACAAATTCCTTTGGGATTGGAACTCCCTTGATCCAGCAAGGTGTGGCTCTGCACCATCTGTAGCCCAGCTCCCTTAGCCCACCTGCCCACACCTTTTCCTTCGTTTCCAGAGTCTCTGGATCCACCTTGTGCATGAAGATATTCTCACTGCTGACGTAATAATCTCCTTTGTACAGCACATAGTTCACATTGGCGTTGTCGCTGGGCTCTGAAACAGAAATCCCGGAGTTGTGCACAGCTCTGTGCAGCTCATGTCACATTATGGCAAGTTAGACGTGTTTAAACAAATAAACCCATTTGCAGTGGCATTAATCCCTGCGTGATTGATTGGAAATATCTCGCTAATCTACAAAGGGAAACTGCGCGGGTGAAGCTGGGTTACAGGGACAAGGACAGGGATGGAAATCACTGCTGGAGCTGGGCAAGGGCAGATGGGGCATGTGGATAGGTCTGGAATGTCTAGAGGGAGCTGGGGTGGGGATTTGGGGGATGTCACCATGAGTGAAGGTGTGAGCACCTCGGGAAAGGCCAGATGCCATGGCAGGAGGGGAGAGGAGAAGCAGAGGATGGTCACTCTCGAGCTGTGAACTTGGGGCCTGCGCTGCTTTTCCTGGGGAACACTTTGCTTGCATTTAAGCCTCTTTCTTCCCTGACGTACACAGAATCCTAAAGGTACTGGAACTTCCATTCCTGTGCAGCACCATCCCTCACCCTACTCAATAATCTCCTGCCCCTTAGTCCAGGAAGGGAGGGATTAGCCCACTTACCCTACAAGCTTAGCAAGGCAAGGCATTTCAAGGACAAAGCTGTGTCTCAGGTAGAACATCAGGGTGTAATGCTCATTATCAGCCCTGCACAGGTTTTTCTCTAGGGGAGAACTTTCTTTGGGAAATTTGCAAAAAAGATCCAGGATTGAGCAAGCTGAGGTGGCATTAAAACATTAAACTCTGCCTGCCCCCGCTGAGGCTAACAAAAATTTGCATAATTTTGGCATTTGGGTCATATTCTAAGAAAAACACAGGCTCGCAGAAAGTCTGTCAGACTTCCTCACATCTCCCTTTCCACCTAACCACAAGTTCCTCCAAGAAAAATCTCACAACACTTTGCATTTTTTTTACTGCAACCACTCTTACGTGGCGGCTCAAAGCGGGACAGGAAGCGGCCGAAGATGCTCTTGCACGGGTCTGGCATGGCCAAGGTGCCGAACTCGGAGGCCACGATGCGATTGTGCCGACTGTTCCTCAGGTAGGAGCTGCTCTGCAGGAACCTGCTCCTGTAGGTCACCCTGCCATGGGCCAGCTGGAACTGGTGCAGCAGGGCCATGCCATCAAACCAGTGGTTAAACCTTCCAGGAGAGAGGAAAAAAGGAGATTAAGGAGAGTTGGGCATTATATGATGCTCTGATGTTTGTAAAAGCTGATTCCCAGATCCCCTGAACTGTTAACCAGGATTTGTTTGGGAAAACACCTGAATCAAACAAAAAACAAAACAAAACAAGAGTATTTGCAGCTGTGGGATGTGATGTCTTGAAGGTTTTTTGGGAAATAATCTACAGCCACTCCTGAACAGGGAATAGAGTTTGTGCTGTTCTGTACAACATTATCAATTATTACTGCACACCCAGAGGCCTCAAGCTGTCAGCTTCTTGCAGGATGTTACTGTCTCCAAACCCAGGAATTTGTGAGACTCCCAGGACACCTGATGCTCTAACTCTGGGAATGTGGGATCAGCTTTGGCCAGTTGCTGCCATCAGCTGAATTTTCAGTTACTAGAATGGCACATTCCAAGCCACAGGGACTAAGTGACTTCTGGGAATATTTTAATATGTTATTTTTAAAACTAGGTGGATTTGCTTCTAAAGCAGCTCACACCATTTGGTGCAACCAACTCTCCAAATTCCTGCCCTGGACGTCAGAGCGCTCAGGGATGGGTTTTTGTTCAGGATAGAGGAGCAAAGCTGGGGATGTTTTATTCCCCATCCCACCACGGTGAGGGGGTGAGAGCCCTCCTGACTCAGCCTGGGTGACTTCACCCTTCAGCTCCTCTTGCAGGAAATGGGAGCTCCCAAAGGAGGGGGGAACTGCTCTCAAAAGAGTGACATCAATATTTCTTCCTTCCCTTACGTAAAAAGAAACTAAAAGATGCTCTAAATAGCGATGAGGGGGTGTTTCCCCTTCAGGTTTAAGCAGAGATCAGGCCAGCATCATTAAAAAAATGAATTTAATAGAGACTTACTTGTCATTGCCAAACTCGAACTTGCCAGGGCCATTCCTCAGCAGATTTCCATTAATCCACTTGGGAATGTGTCCTTTGATCTTGGCTGGGATGGGCTCAGGGGTCTCCTCCATGTTCTGCACTAAGGGGGAGATGCATTGCAGCCCCCTGGGTCTGTGGCAGAGGATTTGCTCCCTGGATGGGCTGGGAAGGTAATTCTTAAAACCTGCAAAGAGAGCAAGGAGACCAAAAAGCAGGGAATTGAGATTTTTCACTGGAATAAAGTGACAAATGCTGGATCTTGAGACTGGGTGTCAGGGAGAAAAGCATTAAGCATCTGCAAGCAGCCAAGTTGTGGTGGATACTCAAGGTAAAGCCACAAAACCCAAGGCACACACACAGGGAGCTGAAAATCCTGTGGATTTTACTCTGCTCTAGTTAATCCACAAGGGACACCAGTTCTGCAGCCCAAAGGAGGTAACAGAATGCAGGATGGTAGAAAAAGAAGATAACTTTTCTTTTAATCAAAGACATTTATATTTAGATTTAATTTCATAAATGAGAAAAGAAAAAAACCCAACAAACTGTGATCCTAAAAAAAATGGAAGAACACAAATGAAACTGGGCCAAAATCCATCTACAGGTTTTATTTGGCAGGGAAATAAGCAGAGAAGGATGATTTCTGATGGAGCCTCCAGTTTGGCTGCAATAACCCCATTCCCAATCCTGGGTGGAGAACAAAAGCTCCAGGAGAGCGTGCAGTGATTGGAATGCTGTGAGCTCCCGGTGATGCCAGTGTTTGGCTCCCATAGCCTGGTTTGCAAAGCCTCATCAACACAAGGATTGTTTTAGCAATCCATTTAGCTGCAGAGGTGGATTTACCCGGGGGTGCCTCCCTGCCCGGGCTGGCACCTGCCCATGCTGCCCTCAGTGCAGCCGCTCTGCTGCTCTCCCAAGCCCACAGAGTGTGGAACCAGCCTGGAGCTGCTGAGCACTGAGCTGGGAGCGAAATTCTGCTCAGAAAGGGCATGTGGCAGCCAGAACTCCATCACCCACGGCTGGTGCAGGTACCACACACTGAGTGGAGTCCGGGCTGCTACTGAATTCAAGCTGATTTTTTATCCCTCAGCACTGCTGCTTCTGGCCTACATCCTTTAATCCAAGTGCCCAAGTGTAGGTACTGCCCAATTTCCCTCCTCTGGAACCCTTTGCTCAGCATCTCCAGAGGAAATCTTCTGCTTCAGACAGAATATCTGCAAAAGAGCTGAGCTGGCAGGCAGAACCCTTCTGAGCTTGTTTCTCCACACAAAAACATCCACAGGTTGGACGTCAGGATTGCAGGAAGGTAAAATGCAAGATTCCAGTGTAACTCTCCAATCTACCAATCCTCAAATCCTCCTTCAGATCTCTGAAGGGTTTGCAGAAATGCAGGTTTGGTTTGCAAAGGTGCAAAATATGCATTAAAGAATGAGAGGAACACATCTGTAAGGAGATATTTTGCAGAAATAGCTGGCATGACTCAGGATGGGCACTACATTGAAACTTCCTAGAGAGCGCTGTAAGTGGAAATTTTGGAAAGATTCCACAAAACAGCCTGACCAGGGCTGGGAAAGACCTCCTGAATCCACCCCTCCCAACTGCTGTCCCCGAAATTCTTATATATGAGAACTCTATCTTAAAAATTATTATGTCTACAGGCATTTATTCCCTCTTTGGGTAACTGTTCCTTGTCCAGATGATTAGGAAAATGTTTTAATTTAACAAAGGGCATTATTGTTGTTTTTCTGGCAGCTCTGGTGTGTGGTTTTGGTAGTTTTCTCATCCTCGTCCTGTATTTAGGGTGAAGAATGATATCACTTCCTAAGCTAAGTAAGCCAAGTTCTTTTTATTTTCCTTGTCCTGTGATAACCATTCACATGATCATCTCAGTAATCCGTGAAATCTGATCTAGTTAGAATTCATCTCCTTAGAATTCATTCCAAGGCATCCCCTACGAAGTGGAGTTTCAATAGAATGGACGATAAACAACCAGAATATTTAAGGGAATGCCCCAAACCCAGGCCAGAGAGGGAGAAAGAAGCACAGCAAAGGAATGGATTATTTTTTTTTCATCACACAAATGAGCTGAAGATCCTGGCAGGCAGAAATGAACACAAAATGGGAACAAATCCCAACACTAAGGTGAGCCAGAACAGAAGCTTTCAGAAACAAGACAAGTCATTGCACACAATTCTCAATAGCTAGGGGGAGGGAAGGCATGCAAGAAGAAGAAAAAAAAAAAAGGAATCCTACATATCTTCCCTATTAAACAAAACCAGATCTGAGTAATAACTGTTAACTGCACTTTGAATGCACGGAGAACGTGGAATGCAGAAAACTCCACCTCAACACTGTTCCTGAGAAATTCAAAAAAAGGCGTTTCACCTTCAGGGGAAAGCTCAGTCATAAATTAAAATGTTGTAACATCCAGCTCCCCAAGAAGGGACCAATTGCTTTCTGATGAAGGCAGAAGACAGACTGGTTTTTGATGTTAAACAATATGTAAATAACATTACTCCTTCTGTTCTGGCCACGCTCTGAGATGGGAGAACTCAAATCCACACTTAAAGCAATACAGTCCCACTGGGGCTCTCTGTGTGTGCTTGAACATCTGGAAATCAGCACAGGATCACAACCTGCCCTCTCAAAATCCTCATTTCTCCACCGTGGTTTCCATCCTACCTCAGACTTTCAAACACAGTCTTAAGGTCTGTGTCATATCTGAGCAGAGGCAGTGCCAAACATGGAGCTGTAACTTTCCTCTGATCTTTTCTAACGCAGCAGGCAATCACTGTAGAGTTATCCCTTTGTTCAGCTCCTGTTTCCCTGCCATGATTTCACTGCCCAGCATAAACTGACAGCCCAGCATTGATTATTTGTTGATTGTTAATATCCAGAAATGGTGGGATGAAGGACCAGGCTCTCAAAGAGAAGGCTGCTGTGGGTGCAGTCTCTGTGAATCAGACATTAAACTGCACTTCAACACCAGTGGGTGGAACGTGAAATCCTTAATGGGGGGTGGCAGAACCATGGGAGTCATTTTCTAACACTGGAATCACATGGGACAGGGCAAAGCCATTTTGATTTTAACCTTCAGGTTCAAACCCAAGGCTTAGGAACCACCTCTCCATGCTCAGTCTAATTTTTTGACTCAGAAGGACATCCAGAATTAAAGGCAAAATTTAGCAAATACAATGTTCATGATATTCTCTAAGGAGGGAGAGTGGGGCAAGAATTTTGGGAATAATCCTCTGGCACAGGCTGCGTTTTGTTCCCTATAAAACACAGATTGGCACAAAACAGAAGCAAAGCAGATTCCCCCGACCCCCAGCCCAAACCAGAGCTGTGGATTTGTGCCCTCTGGACTCCAGCCTTCCCCGGGCTTGGAGCCCTGAGATCCCAGAGGGATTTCCGAAGGGAAAGGGCAGAACTTGCCTTGGGAGTGCCGGGAAGTGCCCGTGCTGGGCTCCTTGTTCCATGCAGCCACTTGGTTCCCCATGGCCAGGGGCTCAGGCACCCAATTCCTCGCTAACAGCCAGAGGAGCACAGGAAAACAGGAAAGAAACGACAGAAAACACAGGGGAAAAAATAAATGGAGAGAAAGAGCAGGGGAAAGCTCAAAGGGAGGAAAGGAGAAAGGTGAGAGTGAACTCCAGAATATGAAATAGCTGTTGATTCCCCAGCAGAAACAGAGTCTACACTTTGGGGTCTTCTGGTGGCACAACAAGGCAGATTTGAGATTTTTTCAGCTCTTTGGATACCTCGGAAGCAATGCTCTGAATTTAGAGGGCACAAAAACACCACTACCATCAAAAAGCTGAAATTCCCGTGAGGTTTGCCATGACTTTTATTGGCTCCTAATTTCTGAAAACAGGCAAACAAATCAAACAAAACAAAGAAACGAAAAAACCCTATCAAAAAGCAGCTGAAGCTGTGCAATGATGGCACAAAGCGCAGAGTACTCTCAGGCTGTGATGCAAAATCCTTTGGGGCAGTTCACCACTTGCATGTTCGGGTTAAAGCCTCGGCACCGATGCGGCTCCAAAGAATCCTCTCCCTGCCCACTTCCAGCTGGCTCCCTCGCACAGAGAATCAGCTGAGTGCTGCTTTTCCAGCTCTAGACCATCTGTATCTGCTGTAATCCTTGCCTCTCCCGTTTATCCATTCAACAAACAACGCTTTCTGCCATCTAGAAATGGCACTTCAGATCGCTCCGTTGCCAATTCCCGACAATAGGAATTGTTCTCCCGACCCGTGTCAGCGGCAGCAGCCCCTTTCCGAGGGGACGGGATGAAAGGGATCGTTTTTAACGCGTTTTACCTGGAATGAACTGCATCAAAGAGCAGAGGAAACGCAGCAGGTGAGCGAGCAGGAGGCTGGCGGCGGACAAAAGGATTTTGGCGAACATATTGCGGCGGGCAGAAGGCATCGGCTCGGAGCGGCCGGGCGGAGGTAGCGGTGCCAGGGCAGCGAGCAGAGGAGGCAGCGATGGTCGGCAGAGGTGAGCGCTGTCTCTCATCATCCTTTCACAATAAGAGCCGTGCCCGCAGCAGCGCCCGGCCCGTCCTGCCCGCGCTGCGCTCCGCGGCTCCGGCCGGTCCCCGGCGCTCACCTGGCCCAGGTGAGCTGCCCCAGCCTGCGGAATGCGCTCCAGCCACGGCAACACGAGCGAGAACAGGATGTGGATCTGCGATCACAGCAGCCAGAAATCGCCGTCACCTCCGCGTTCACCTCCCAGAAAATACTTGGGGTGAAGAGTAGTTTTGATTCAAAACCCGAGGAGGAGTTTTGCACCTTAATGGATGGCGGGGTTTCGGGAATATTGGTTGTCTCGGCAGATTCCCCCCGCAAAATCCAGCAGGATGGGCCGTGCTGCTCCCAGCGGAGCTGGACAGAGGACACACCCTTCCCTTCGGAATGCCAGCAGCGAGCTGTCAGCGCTCTGGAATGGTGCTGAAAACATCGATTTCGGGTCACTAAGCAGCTCTTAAAAGCTGCGCTGTGCCTGGAGAGGGAGCAGGGCAGCGGGCACAGCACTGCAGGGAGCCCGCTCCGCACACCGATTAATTCTCATCCAAAAACTGCTGCAAATTAAGCTGATTTCTACCTTCCAGCATTTCTAGAACTCCTCTCTTATTATGCCCTCCCTTGAGTTGTGCTTTCTCTCAACTAACCCAACTCCTTCAGCCTTTTCCCATCTTTTCACAGCTCTTTAATATTTCCAGTCTCTGGAAATCTTGATTTCCACTCAGCCGTTCATCTTCTTGAGATTACAGTGAATTTTTCATGTATGTTATTGATGCATAAATGACTTCTAGTTTGCTGCTCTTTAAAAAAAAAATTAGGTTATATCCTCTGAAGTCCTTTTTCTAAATAATTTGGGATAATGTGGAATAAACAAAGCTGGAAGCAGATCACTATAAAATACCACATAGGCTGATCTATGAAGAAGAAAAATAATATTCATTGACTTTTTAAATCATTTTTTTGCCCCTACTTACTGATTGCTCTTATTTTCTATACCATCATAAGCCGTACCCACTGGTAATTTTTCCATATTAAGCCAAATATTCTCATTAAGGATTTTTTTTTTTAAAAAAAAATATTATCCATGTCATAGTTAAGAAATTTCTTAGGCTTTTTTAGGCTATTTAGGCTGACTGAGCCTAAATCTTTGCCCTCCTTTTTTTTTTTTTTCTGGCTGTTCCCCTCATGATGCAAAATGCCCATTCTGTTCTTTTCCAGTGCCACCTTCAAAGACAATTCAAAGGTCAAACCTTCTGCCGTTAGCAAAACTGAATTTTGATTAGTTCTGGACAGAATGTCCTGAGCCTTAAACACCTCTAATCCTTACTAGATTTGGTCTTGTTCTATTCTGACCCACATTTATCCTAAAAGGCAGTTTCATTTTAAGTAAACAGTCAAAATTAGCCTTTTCTCAGGAAATTCACTCATTATCTAAATGCATTATCTGTTATTTCCCATTTTTAGCTTTTAGATAACAGGAGAGCAATGAGAGGAACTGGGTTTTTCATCACTTACACTTTCCAGCCTGTGAAGAAATTCACAGCAAGCTCAGAAATGCAAAGGCTCAGTGTCAAGATGCCCTTGACTCCAAGAGGGTTGGAACTTCGTCTAAGATGCTTCCAGATTTTTTAAAAAAATCCATTTATATTCTGTTACTGATCTGTCATCTTAGACGTGCTTGTTAATTTATAGGCTGGAGCTTAAACGAGGAGGGGAGAAGCTTAAAAGAAAACGTAGTTACCAGCTGAGCTTTGCTGATCAGATTTAGCTGCTTTAAAGCCAATTAATTTTCTGTCCAAACCTCCTGCAGTAAAACTGGAAAGCGGATAGGGATGGGATGGGTGCCAGGTGGGTTTCATGAGGAGCTCAGGGACAGCATGAAGGAGCCTTTAGTGTCAGATCAGAAAAGAAAACTTCTCTTGCTTCTCCCAATAAACACTGAAATCTGTAAGAGGGGCAATCAGCAGCATCAATCGTGGGGTGGATGAGTTGTAGCCAAATAGGAAAGCAATAAATTCTTATTTTTTAATGGTTTAGAAGGAAAATTGTGTATAATGAGTGTGTCCATATATTGAGATACTGAGTGGAACACTAAAGAGCAGCCAGAAGAAAAGTGCTCTGTATTTCTGGCCAGCACAACAATTATGGAAAACTCCCTTTAAACAGGGAGAGATAAATGTGTGATTAATATATTTCCATTGCTGAAATATTATTATATGAAATCTATATTATTATTGCTGAAATATCCTTCACAAGAGGAGAGGCTGACTTATTTTCAATGGATGTTTTAAACTTTCTGAACTCACCATTTCAAGCCTAAACTCTATAAAACAGATATTTCATTCATTTTAGGGCAGATGTTCCTCAGTAATTAAATTTTTATACCTTTCCTTTATTATTCATAAATTACTGTGGGTAAATGTCTGAGTTCAGGCCCTTGGCAGGCATCATTTGGAAACTCTGGGTTGTGCCATCACTATGGATGAGTGTGGATTTTACAAACACCCAGCACAGTATTTTAGAAAATGTCACTTCCTAGATCTTCTCTTTTTCTCCCACATTTCTCTCTATAAACAGAGAAGCATGAGAATATCCAGGGGAAAAACAGGAGACTGCTAAATATGATGCCAGAGCAGTGGTGAGACTTTGGAAAGCCTTTAGATGCTAAAGATGCAGATAGGCACCTTACAGGATTTTCCAAAATTCCTAAGCATGTAAGGCGCTTACACCATGCTTAGGCACTTTGAAAATCCTGCTAAGGACATATCTGCATCTTTAGGGATCTAAATCTCACCCTACATGTCCAGTTCCTCTCATTCTTTGCTTTAAATCGTGTCGCTGTGACACGTAGCACATTCGGCTTTGAGCTCAGGGAAGGGGGAAAGGAGGGAGGATTAGGTCTGAGAGGATTTCAAGAGGAAATCACTGCACACCACTGGGGTAAAGATGGAAATATATCTTGTTCCAGCACTTTATTACGAGCCCCACGCTTTGTACAAGTGATCCTTTGTACATTCCAGGCTTCATCTTTTTTTATTTTTAACAGAGTCGGATGACAAGAAAGGAAAAGGGCTCAGTGTTCTCAGAAAAACTGAGGATCAGCAAACAGCTATGTAGACCAGTAACAAAATAACACCGTACATCCAGATCATGTTGACATTTTCTATTTATTTATTGGCATCAACAGCAAAGCTTTGATTACGTTTTATATCAACATGGCCTTGAAAAGTAACACGTGCCAGTATTACAATGCATTTGAAATGAAGACTTTATACTGTCTCAAAGTTCTTTATAGAATTCTCTTATTTCTAAACTGATCTTTTCAACCTATTTTCATTCTGAGGCCAAACGAAAATAACATTGCAAGTATATTCTACTAAGATGTTATCACAAAAACATTTTTTTAAAGTAGAAAGGAAAAATAAAAACCAAAACATAACCAGGAAGTGGTTAACATGAAATACTCTGAGGTCATTTTCCACTTACATCATAAATATCTGTGTTTCACAGAAATGTTTTTTTGCTATGTTTAATGGGTTAACACAGCTTAATGTCATAGTCCCTTGAGTTACAGGATTTAAAACAGATATTCAGAATTGTTTTTATTAACCACCACGACACTATGTATTTAAACACTAAGTAGCTGCTAAACTTGTTGGCAGTTTCCTGAACTGACAGAAATATTTATAGAAGAAACAGACATCACAACACTCATCACAGTTTGTTTTCATGCACAAACACGACTTTGGCTCTGCACTTCTGTAACTCCATTTAGCTTTACAAAGTATTGGCAATGACAGCGAATCTCTGTTTCAGTTTCTCTCTTTTCTGCTTTAAGTGGTTTTCTGTGGCCCTGGCTTCTTTTAAGATCTCATCAAGTTCCTGGACATAAGAAGAATCCAATGTTGTTCTTGCACTAAAGTGAAGAAATCTGTAGTTAAAATCAGTGCTAATGCTGTTAACTTTCTCACTACATTTATGTTTTTATTAAAAATGGGTTGTATATTAATACCCAGTTCCTGACCAAATTTATCCTCTGTTGTAATAAAAAACAGTGTTTTTCTTTCAAGATCTGTGTTTGGCAGTTTCACTGTTAATTTCCCTAAACTGCAGTCACCCATCCATCTTAGCTAGATAATTTGTAAATTGCTGTGCAAATAGCACAAAATTAACTTGCCTTATAACATCAGCATATTTTGTTAACAAGTTATTCATTTCTTTGTTCACCTCTGTTAAGAGAGAAAAAAAAAAAGATTTTATTTAAACATCTGGAAGAATCTCAACATGAAATTAGGTCATTCCATACTTAATTTAATACATCACCATTTAAAACCTTTTCCAGTGATTCAGTCTTGGAAAGGGACTGCGAGTCCTCAGAAGGAGCCAAATCTGTTTTGTCAGACAACTGAGGATTTTCTGACGCTTCATTCTAACAAAAGAGCACATTAGGAAAAACACAGCTTCTAAGATTTAAAATAAACTTTGCACAGAGCTCAGCTGAGAGAAGGAAGAGGTTTAAAAAGATCTTGGGGATGTTTTTGGAGAAAATGCAAGTGGGTTCACAGCATCGTGAGCATCTTGAGGAGTGGGTGGGAAGACTGAGATCTCTGTGTATAAACACATTTATTTATATATATGCACATATGTTGTATATATACCTCAGTGAAAGCTGGTGTACTTCAGAAGCTCACTCTCGAGAAGTTCTGCATAAATATCTCCCAGTGCTTACACAACTTTATTTGGCTTCAAGCCCCCAGAGAAACCGTGGTTTCTCCACACTAAAAAGTCGTTTATGTTTCCCCAAACCTCCCCTAACCCCCTGTTATAGAGGGGTCCTTCCCCACACAGCACCACTCACCTCCATCTTTTTGCTTTTATTTCTATTCTTATCTGCCTTTTTCGAGTTGCTTGCCGTGGCTGCCTCAAGGAAAGCACGCGGTGTTTGCTGAGCGCTCATGCTGGCAGCGTGTTCAAATAAAAACGTGTAAAACCTGCAGCTGGTTCCTCTGCAAGGGCGCTCCTGGCACAACCCCTCAGAGGAGCTGGAGACGGCGGGGGGATGGCGAGGAGTCCCGGGCCAGCCTAAATTCGATATCCGAGGAGGTTTAGCCCTTCCCGGGGCTCCCAGAGCCTGAGGGCATCGAGGCGTCCAGGACGGACCCCCGGCCCCGCCGCTTCCCCTTCACGCGGGCCCGGGGCGGGCCCGGGCTTGGAAAGGCCGCGACGGTGGGGACAAAGGAAAAGGGACAAGGGCCGAGAAACGAGCGAAAAGGGGAAAGAAACAAACGACAAGGGACGAGAAAGAAGGGACAAGGGACCAGAGAGAAGGGACAAGGGACGAGACACAAGGGTCAGCCGCTCCCCTCAGGACTGGCAGCGCCTCGGGAGCCCGGGCCGGGCACGCTGACAGCACCAGGAGCGGCCCCGGCCCGGGCAGTTCAATTAATTAAAGCTTTAAACAACTCCTTAATCATTCCTTAGATGCCAGGTTTCACTTTCTAAGCGAAATCCTTGGAATGCGTTTGACGCTCGATTTATCTGCCTCAAAGCACAAGCCAGAAATGAGCGCAACCTGAGAGACCAGGCACTAAAACGAGTAACAACACTCAAATGAGTCAACACTAAACGCAGCACTAAAATGAGTAAAAATGTTGCAGACAGAGAGAGATATTATAAAAGAAAGGGTTTGTATAATATGGTTTAAGCCCTGCTACTCCAAATAGCAGCTTCTAAATTTCCATGCAAAAACAACCTTAGGAAGGAAAAGCCAGTTAACATAACAAACTATTCTGGTTGCACCTATGAGAAACAAGAGATCTGTCCCATCAGAATCAGTAAAAAAGGTATGTAAACATCTAAATAAGAAAGAGTTTTAGCATGTACACACAAAACACCTTTTAACCAATAAGAAGCAAAAATACTACTAGCCAAAGTTGCACACAGTCTGTAAAACCTGTGTAAAATTGAATTACGTAAATAAAAAATTAACTTTTCCTACATGAAGGAACTAGATCCCAGCTAAGCTGTTAGAAAAACTAAAAACGCTAAAATGCATAAAAGCTCTAAAATGAGTAACACCAACACAACACATGGCTGCAAAGAGCATTTCTCTCTCTCTCTATGGCTGCAAAGAGCATTTCTCTCTCTCTCTCTCTCTAAAGAATAGAGAATAAAACTGTATTTTCCCAAGGCTGTTTCACTTCTGTAGGGGAATTATATCTTTGTTCATTACAGTGAAATAAATCATTGCAAGATCTAAACTGATGTTAATGTTATGCTATATGACGTGATTGCATTATGATATGTTGTTTTATGATATATGAGTTAAGATATGGTATGTGATGTTCTGTAGAGTTTGCCTCTGACTTGGGGTTTTTTCCTCTTTTTTTCTTTATTTTCTTTCTCTTTCTATCTTCTGTTTTGTAGAGAGGAAAGGACTTAAATCTCATATACATAATCCAAATACGAAGTTAGAATATCAGCATGAGAAATCAAACTGCTGAAAGAACAAAAAACTAAGTAATTCCTCAAAGTAGAAACAACTTTTAATAAGCTTCCATGGCCCACTTCATTTAATTATCAGGTTTTTCATAGGTAATTATGTTATTAGCCTGACTATCTAAACATTAAGAAACAGAGATGACAACATATTAGGAAAATGTTCTTGAGATGTTTACTTAATTGTGTCATGGTAAAAGGTTTTGTTAACAGACCTTTTACCAGAAGTAAAACAAACATCTGAATTTTCATTTCCATTGTCTTATGGATATGATAGTCTATGAATAAAACTCAGACTAAAAATAACATTAAAATAAAATTATCTAAGGGGAGAGAGTTCACTCTTACTGGAGTTCCAGTTCCTTTAAAATTGGAGCAAAATTATCTAAGCCATTACTTTAAAAGTAGTCACAGTTGCTCTAAGATTGGAGATATTAAATTCCAGGAGAAATTAAAGTTTAAACTGTACCACAAAAGCTATTGTACGACTTAGATCTGATCCTGGAAAATGCAAATATGTGCACAAAAGAAAAGGAAATGCCTTTTATTCTATGTCATTAATGAACTAAGGCTCTCAAAGGCTATCATGAAAGACCAAGTCCTCCTTCCTGATACCTTTGTATGGAATATCAATAGACCAAAAATATTAGTGCCAATAGAAGGGACATGAACAGCTGAGACAATGTCTTGGGGACTTGGGTTTGATGTGGGGATTTGGGGTGTTTTTTATCATCCACACAACTCAGGGATCTTCAATTTCCATAGAAACAGCAAATCCAGGCACAGAGATGGAACAAATTGGGAAATTATTCATTCCCAAGCTCGCTGCCCTGGTTTTCAGGGCCTGTCCCAGCACTGCGGTTCCAGCATTTGCTGCTTTCAACACTCCCCAAAGGCAGTGCGGGCTTTTCCTCCAGCCGTGCCAGCACTGCTGCTCTAATGGCACGGGACATTCCTCATCCCATTGCTGCTCTAAGGTCTGCAATGGGACATTCCTCATCCCATTGCTGCTCTAATGGCACGGGACATTCCTCATCCCATTGCTGCTCTAAGGTCTGCAATGGGACATTCCTCATCCCATTGCTGCACTAAGGGCTGGAACGGGACATTCCTCATCCCATTGCTGCACTAAGGGCTGGGACATTCCTCATCCCATTGCTGCACTAAGGGCTGGGACATTCCTCATCCCACTGCTGCTCTAAGGTCTGGAACGGGACATTCCTCATCCCATTGCTGCTCTAAGGTCTGGAACGGGACATTCCTCATCCCATTGCTGCTCTAAGGTCTGCAGTGGGACATTCCTCATCCCATTGCTGCTCTAAGGTCTGGAATGGGACATTCCTCATCCCATTGCTGCTCTAAGGTCTGGAACGGGACATTCCTCATCCCATTGCTGCTCTAAGGTCTGGAACGGGACATTCCTCATCCCATTGCTGCACTAAGGTCTGGAACGGGACATTCCTCACCCATGCCAGCACTGCTGGGCACTGCTGCCACCGGCAGTCGGGGACCAACATCGCGGTGGTTTCCATCCCAAAGGCTTTCCCGCAGGGATCCAGCAAGGGGAAGCCGGACGGGCACGGGCAGAAGCTGCCTCAAAGCTGCCGTGAAGGAGCGGCTGGAGCAGGAGCTCAGCGACACCCGAGCGCTACAGAGCCACCCTCGGAAGGGCAGATTTGCATAGGCGCTGGCTCCTCAGCGAGGAGGGGAAATGCCGTGCGAGAAAGGCGGACGTAGGCACAGACCTTGGGAAAGCCTCCCGAGCTCGGCAGCCGCTATAAAACCCCTCCCTGCAGCGCTCGCTTCCCTCCCGTGCCTCAGTGCCCCGGGGTGGGGCATCCCCGGCGGCGGGGCACCCACCGGGGGTGGCCTTGGCACAGCGCCGGTCCTGAGCCGGCAGCTCCGCAGTTGCGCTTCTCGCGGCTCCCATCGCCCGGCTGCAGCTCCCGAGGAGCCAGAAGGGACCCCCGAGATCCAGAAAGGACCCCCGAGATCCAGAAAAGACCCCGAGAGCCACCTCTGCTCCCGCCCCGCATCCCTGCGGCTTTCTCAGGGTGAGTCATTCCACGGCCGACAGTCAGAAACTCCTTTGAGCTTCTGCCGTTCCTTTCGAACGCCCCTGCTAAAAGGTCTGAATAACCATCTTTTACTGCTTGATGATCCTGGAGGTCTTTTCCAACCTTTTTGATTCTATGATCAACAATCATTTTGTTTTACCCATCAAACCAAGGGCCACTTTTTCCTTTAATCCTCTGTAAAAAGCCCTGCCCGTGCCTGCCCCTGGACTTTAGAATCACAGAGGACTCTATGATTAATGCACTAAGGATTGCATTGTTGGGTGTTGTGCTATCTCGTTTCCATGGCCTGGATGTGCACTCTTGCAAAGATGCTGCTGGGAGCCTGCTGTCCCTTCTGCACAGCCACAACTAGATAAAAACCACCAAATACAAAGAGAAAAAAGTCACTGTCAGATACATTCTTCAAAGTGCTTTGCCTAATCCCCAGAGGGCTTTGGGTGAGGAAAACCACAGTGATTCCCTACCCTAATCCCTCTGGGGGTGTGTGGCTACTTACATTGATATCACCCAGTTTTGTATAAAAATTCATTTTCAGCTGTTGAAAAAGTTTTGGAGTGATGTGTATATTTTGATTGTACAATCAAATCCCAGTGAAGGAGCCATTTTTGGAGTGATGATCTCCCCATTGTTCATCTGGTTTTAAGACATTTATTATCTTTAGTGCAAGAGATGACCTTTTTAGAGGCAGTCAGAATGGGTTCTAACTTTTGGGTATTTTGGAAGCTCATGCTTTTCTAGGGGGAACCTGGTAAGATCAGTCAGTGCAGACTTAACTTGCACCCCTTTATGGGGTAAAAAGCATCGAGCTTAACTCTGATTCCTCTCCTTGTGCTGTGGGCAGGGTGAAGATGAGTGCTGAAGAGATTCTGATGTGTGCAGTAGAACTTGGAAAAAATTTCTGCCTCTATTTTGACGGTAATTAGAGCACTTAATAACCTTTTTTGTTTGAATACTGATTTAACACAATTCCCTTGTCAGTCTGATTTCATCTAAGGTTCCCATCATCTTCTGTTTTAAGTGTTAGCCAAGTGTTAGCCAAGTATCTGAGTCAGGGGAGTATTTGTTGCTTATACAAAAAACTTCTGGGAAAGGACACTCAGAAGTGTTGGAATACTGGGGGGGTGGACTTGGAGTGAGTGAGTAATTTCCACTCTTACGGAAAAAAGTCAGTTAGAAAACCTTTTCTTTTTTAAAAGCAATTTGTAATGAGTTCTTCTTATCCTTTTGCTCACTTAAAGGCACCAATAAAACCAAATATTTGCATGCAATTATTCCTCAGTTTTAGGCTTAGAGTAACCTTCTTACCCTTAAATAACCCCAAAAAAGCATTTTGCATACCTCTGGTTTGGTGGTGACTGCAGTTCTCAAAGGAGTTGTTTTGCTCACAGATAAACCCTGTCTGTAGTGACAGCAGCTCAGCCTTGGTGGCACTGGGCACAGGGTGACTTCTTTTGTGGGGGCACAGCTTAATGTTGTTTTTCTTTCCTTTTTTTCACTGCTCACTTGGAACCAAGACGACGATGGTAAGCCGAGAACTCTTCTTTTATGATTTTGTTACTCATTTCACACTTAGCAATCCAGAGAGGACAAGTTTCAAACTCAGAGTAGCTGCAAAAAAACCCCAGAACTACAGCTCACTGCTCCTTCTGATGCTGATGTTGCTTTAATTCCTCAGAAGCCACAGGGCAGAGGCTTCCCTGAGAACACCTTCCAATGCACTTTAATTGCTGGGCAAAAGAGAACTGATGCTTCTGAATTCTCAGTTAACAAACACAGCAGCTTTTCTTGCTTCTATAAATAAATGTTTGTATTCTGGGAAATCTGCTTCAAGCAGAGGTGTAAAAGATGCTGTGACCTTCCTTTTGTTTGCTGCTAGAAATTCTAAGAACTCCTTTCACATGACATCCAGTGCCAGGATTAAGCTGGCAGCAAACTGTAGAGATCTGAGGAGAGAACAGCTAAAATGTGAAGACTTTTGCTTTATTTTCCTGCAGAGCTGGAGTGTGATGCCCTCTGCAAGGAGAAGACCCTGCACCGAGTCCTGAGGAATGTGAAGAGCCAGCTGCTCGTGGTGCGCCCAGACCTGAACGTGGCAGCCTTTGAGGATGTGACAGACCAGGAGATGCAATCTGGTAATTCCCAAATAGGAACCATCAGCACTGCTCTGCTGCTTTATCCTGGAGGTGGTTTTGTTCTTTGTAATCATCCACTCAATGGTGGGACTGAGAATAATCACTTAAAACTTCATTTGCAAGAATAAAACTAAGCTGAGAGTGAAATTCTGTGTCTTGGGCATTGGTGATGGATGAGATTTCTGGGTTAGACCAAAGCCTGCAGGATGTCACATGCAGAAAAAGGGCTGTTAAGATTTTTTTTCTTGGCTCTGATCACAAAATTCTTAATTCTTCCCTTTTTTTATACTGGATTACAAAAAACCATTTTAAAATTCTAACAGTGTAGTGGAACTAAAAGGTCTTACTTTCTTCTAACAGCATTAGCTATAAACTTAGAGCTTTGGCTTTGACTTTTTGGGGTGCTTCAGCAATTTATTTACAATTCTATTTACTGACCATCTCTATTTCTGGATCACCTCTGTCTAGCCATGGTGTGATTTACAGAGAGCCACTTCCACCTGCCAGTCCCTTTCTGCACTCCCCACACTGCCTGCTGACCTCAGCTGCTGTGGTGCACCCTGCTTATCATCTGATTGCACAAAGCACAACCAGAAGCTGTAAAAATTCAAGTCCTAGCTCTTCTGTCAGGAAAAATATCCTGGCAAGACAGCCAGAGTTGCCAGGGGAGTGGTAGAACATCACTGAATTCATCTGTGCAGCTCCCTGTGGGCAGGTTATCAATAATAATCCGTTTATTTCCAGGCAAAGGGATGCATTTCAGCATTCACTGCTACAAAACCACCACACCCTTAGCAGGAATGCCCGTGGCCTTCAGTGTCCAAGTGGAAGACAAAAGTTATTACATGTGTTGTGAGAGGGAATGTGGAGAAATGATCGTTAGATTCAAGGTAAGGACCTGCTTCCCTCTCCTCATCCGTACAAACCCAACAGGCAGAATCCACAACTCAGAGCTGGAATAAAACTGGTCTGGGCTCGTGCTGGGATTAACCTGTTCCCTTTTTCCTTCCTCAGGAAGGAGAAGTTCCCAAAGAAATTCCTGGTGAAAGCAACATCATCTTTTTCAAAAAGACATTTACATCTTGCTGCTCCAAAGCATTTAAGTTTGAATACTCAATGGAACGAGGAATGTTCTTGGCCTTTGAGGAAGAAGGCTACTTGAGAAAATTAATCCTAAAGAAACTGTCAAAAGATGAAGTGGATGAAACCATGAAGATGAGTTTATCTAAGTTCAGTCAGAATGAAAATCACAACCTATGATGGAACACTTCAACAGTTTTAAAATACAGTTTGTTTTTTTATAAAAGAAACTTTAGTCTTCCTTTATCCAAAACAAGTCAGTTTTATGTTTTAACTACTCTCAGTACTTAATAAAAAAATAAATGCAAGTTCTTGGCAAAAAGCAGAATGTTTTCCAGTCAGACAGAAGAGAATTACTGAAGAAACAAGAATGTGCATGTCTATGTAGAATTTGATCCCAAAAATCTTTAATGCCTGTTGACCAAACAGCTTTTGAATTAGGTTTGGACTTTTACATTTCCAATACTCCCAGATTTCTCACCCAAGTAGCTTAAACACCACATCCAGCTGCATCCTGTGTGAGGAAACCTCAGATACTTTCCATGAGAGACCCTCAGCTTGCCCACAGGGACTTTCCTGTGACTCATCTGCACCCTCCTTCTCCCTGCCACAAAATAACAAATGTTGGCATTTAAACCAGACCACAGCCCTGTTCTGACCACAACACAAACAAAAAAATTGGCCAGCTACCTGCTTTTGCTAATAAATAAAATTTCCAATCCGTATTTAAAAAAAAAAATTTAAAAAATTTAAAAAAAAATAAAATCAGAAAGTCTTGTAGACTCCAAACCGTGACGTGGTCGTTCTGTTTGTTGCATAATCCCTGATGGTAGCACAAATCCTCTTCCTCTCACTATTAATAGTGCCACAAAAGTACTGTGAGAATGTTAAAGTCAGGATGAAGCAGAAAATTAAAAACCACAATCTCAGTTCCCCCCTAAAAAATCCCTAAAAGAACAGAACACTCCCTCAGCCTCCTCTTTGTTGTGTTTTCTCACACAGGACAACACAGACCAGAGTATTTAGAAAATAAACCTCAAAAGAAGTGTTGAAGATGAACATAAAACCCTTGGAAGTTGAATGTTCCTAAAGTCAATCTGCAAAAGTATTTTTATTTTACACCAATCCTTGTTGTATTTTCTAAGGGATATTAATTATTCTTGTATTAAGTCAAGTCTAAGTCACCTCTAAGTATTGACTCATACAAAGATTTTTTGTTTTATGAAATAAGGCAGAGCAGACTTATCTGCAGAGAAAATATTTTAGGCCACCCACAAGCAGTAAAAATGGTTCAGAAGCACACACAGAATTTCTGTAAATTCTTTATTGCATGGATTAAGAAAAAAAGTATTCCCTTCTCTACATCAACTCCCCAGGTCCAAAGAGTTACAGGGTCTGCCTTACACACTGATGTCAGAAGCAGTTCAGTTTTCCACAAGCCAAGCTTGTTTTACAGAATAGCAAACCAACCAACAGTCAGAAAAACACTCATTAAAGCTGGTTTTACAAGGAGGGTTCCCTTTAACTACACAAGTCTGCCACTGATGTAATTAATTCAGCCCAATTTACAGCACAGATCAAATCCACTCTCACTGGACGTTTTCCAGTGAAATCTGCTTTTAAATCTGGTTTTTCTCTATATGTTCTAACCTAGCTGTGAGCCCCCTGCAGGCTCACTGGGGACCCTTGGCTGCTCCTTGGCTGTGCAGGACGTTGCTCACAAGCTGATGAAGCAGAGGCAGCAGAGGACAATCGTGTGTGTCGGGGCTGGGGCTCCTCACAGGCTCCAGAGCATGGCCACGGCCTTGCAGATGCCCACGTCCTGGTAGTTGAAGTAGCAGAGGCCAGCAAAGGTCAGGGCAGACAGGACGTACAGCCCCGTGTTGGCCACTTTAATGGGGACGTCTCCATGCACATAATCAGTAATTACCTGGCCCAGACCCCTAAACAAGAGAGAAAAGCTCAGATCAGCAAAGTTTACTCACTGAGATCCATTGGCTTCGTGTCCCCGTTGTACCAACTCGCTCTTTCCCCCCTGCTGCCATCAGCCTTTCCTGAAGAATGCTCAGTTCCCACTCAGAAAGAGGATGGATCTATTTCAAAAACAAAATGTTCCACAGGTTCTACTGAAAATACACAGATTGGCTCAGAGTTTTTTGAGGAAACCAAGTGCTGACCACAGGTCTCCAGACAACAGAATCTTTGGAATCTGCCTTCTTATCCGATTTCCAAGGACTGAAAAAGAGGAAAACCAAGGAAATATGTGGGACCAGCCACTGTCACAAAAACACAGAAGACTCCTGGGTCTAGACTAGAAGAGTGACAACCAAAGAAATTATCATATTTTCAGGTTTTTTGTACATCTGGAAGTGAACTCCTGTCCAGATTTGAACAATCCAGCAACACAAGACACAGGATGCTTGTTTTGGGAAAAAGCTCCCAGTCAGAGCAAGGAAAGTACAAGAATCCTGGCACAAATTCCTGAGGGCAAAAGGCACAAATTCCTAAGGGCAAAACTGAGGTTTAAGAAAACCTGGTACCCTCAAAGTACCATGAAAATCTTCTTTATCCTTGTGGCAAGGAACTCCCAAACCACGATCACCTCAGGAAGGTGGAGCTGCCAGTCCACTCCTAATTAGAACAACACTGAGCAAACATCCATCCAGGAATAAATGAAATAATCATCCAAGTTTCCTTAGTGGATTATTTGCTGTGAGCTCTTTATTGTGCAGAACCTCATCACCACTGAGATGTACAAAGCCAGTGCACAGAGCTTTAGAGGCAGAACATTTTTATATTAATTTTATACAGATCTGTCCTGTTTCTATTCCCTCCATTCACACAACACTGGTTCTTCCACAGGTTAAAAACATCCAGGATTCAACAATTCCAGGGGCAAGGAAGTGCTCCTAAGGTTAAGAGACCAGAACATTTTTTTATGGGTTCCTTTTCTGACTGAGATAAGAGCGTGAGAAAGGAAGAGCAAAGTACGACCACTCCTGCCAGAGCCCACGACTGTCACATGGAGAACGAGGACTTTCTCCAGGTGTTTTACACCAGAACAGGATGAGGTTTGGAGCCACCAGAGCTTGGCTGTGAGTTGAGCCCTGCTGTGCTTACCAGTGGCCGTGCAGGGTGAGGGCTGCAGCCAGGGAATAGTCCACGGCCGGTCCGGGGTACAGGTAGGCTGCAGGGAGCAGCCCCAGCAGCATCACACTGACTGCTCGCTCCCCTGTCCAGTGCAAAGATGCAGCCTTGGAACTGCCTGCAAGGAGAAACATCCTCAGGGAAAAGCCCCTTTGGCAAGGGCTGAAGGGATGGCTTTGAAATCTGGAGTGTCTGCAAACCAAAACCCAGCATGAGCAATACCTCGAAACACAGTGGGAGCATCAGCCCAGGCTGAAACCATCAAGAATTGAATCTAAAATTATCAATGCAACACCCCTAAATTGCTCAACTAACACACAGCTATCATCCATCCATCTAAACCAAAATGAAGAAATTTAGAAAGTGACAAGATAAGGAAAGAAGGAAAGCAAAGGATCTGAAGTTTGGACTCGAGCAAAGTGCAAACTGGAGTGCTATTAACTGGTAGCAGTGCTGCTGGAGGTGAGGGAACACACACTCCTCACAGCCTCAGGCACCACAACAGCACGATTATTTATCACAAATAACATCTGCACAGTTACTGCCCTAACAACGCTCAGCATTTCACAACTTTGCCCTTAAATCAATGGGCATTTAGGATTCTTTTTTCATTTTCTATAACCCTGTATCACCCAACAAGACACCAAGAAAACCACTGTACCATGTTTAAATCTTTTATGTTCTTCGTTACAGCTGCCTCTTAAAATCTTCTAAGTGGTCCAAAAAAATTACAGACTCAGCCTGATTTGGGGTGGGAGAGACCTTAAAGCCCATCTTGTTTTTAAATCCCTGTATGGCCATCGGGTACCATCTCCACCACCTCTGTCCTTTATTCCTGCACCGCTCTTGGTCCCTTGGAGGACCCGAGCCAAAATCTGGTCCTTTACAATCCACTCCTGACAGAATCACGGAGTATTCAGAAGCTGGAATAGACCTTAAGGATCATCTAATCCCAGCCCCTGGCTTTGGGCAGGATGCCTTGCGCTACACCCGGCTGCTCGGAGCTCCATCCAGCAATTCCAGGGATGGGAAAAGGGATCCAGATCCCGGGAAAACGAGACCCCGGCACACAAACACGGACGGACAAACACAGACAGGGCAGTACCGTGTCCCTGGCGGGCCGGGCCGTGGCTGTCGCGGGCCGGAGCGCAGCGGGCG